ACGATGATCATCCGAAATTTTTTCTCTTTTTAAAAATGATATCACGAATTGGCATATATTTTAAAATAGTTAATAAAAGTAAAATCCTATACAATGCCTTTAAATTACGTATGTACGTACGTACGAATAATGAAACAAAAAAATTTCCGATTTACACCTTTTGTACTACGCATCACTAATCGAAAGCTTTTTAAGAATTTCTTAAACCGAGGAAAAAAAATGCACCGATGTTAATTAAATAATTAAAGTTCTAATTATTTAAGAATTTCTAAATTGATCAAATTCAAGTGAATGCTTAAATGCGCATGTGTGTGTGTACGCACGTACGTACGTCTTAATTTGATACTTAATGTTACTTTATTACTAACGTGAAGGATAAAACTGCATACTGTAGCACCATATAATAAATAATATAGACTGGGATTAGTGGTACAAGTTAACGTGTAAAAGATTATTCTAGAACTCAGCCATTTAAATAATAGTGTTTATCTATGTAAATTAAGCCAACGTCATTTTAAAAGAATAATATATGCTTCTACAGATTCACGAATATTTTACAACGACATAAAAAATAACTTTTTTAGATTGCTATTTTAATTCATCTTGGTAAAAGCATCAACAAAAGTTGAAATTTACTTTAATATTACACCACGCTAATTTTTAGATCAAATTTATTTTTTGAAAAAAGAATCGATTTTGAATATTCTTTATTATAAAATGAAAAAAAAAAACCAACGCTTGCTATATGAAACGTTTCGATGATTACAACGATAACATTGATCCAGCATATTACATATAACAATTATTTCAATGAAAGAACATATGTGCAATACGAATTTCTCAAACCATCATTAAGAAACAGTTTCCCCCTGCTCCTTACTCGATGATTTCTTCAATGTTCTCAATTTTATAAGCTAATTTATTAAAAATTTTTTAGCAAGTTAAAATAATAATAATAATAACGATGAATAACTTTTAATAAAGAATTGCTTACCGGTTTCCTTTAAGTTGCGTAAGATGACAAAATAACGGGTTCGAAGAATAAAAAATAATTAATATTATAATAAACTGAGACTGCGAAAAAAAAAACCATTAGTGCATACCTTATGAGTATGTGAATTCTCAATAATTACTCTAGGTTCTTCTTCAGACGCTTTAACCATTTTTTGAGTTTCCCCAGCGACCTTTTTTATTAAACAAAATAATGTTATTCAGTATTTCAATCTTAACTTTTTACCAAATAACAAAGAAAAAAAAAGCCATAAATTTAATTTACTTCAGAAGAAGTAATAATTTTCTTGACGATTCCTTCGGTAAGTTGCATACCACCACCAACGGGATGATATCTAACTTTCTGACCGGGTTGGAGATCTTCCTTTCTCACGGCAGCACCAACTTGTTCACCAGCTTTTTGGATAGGCATTTTGTAATGTTTTTAATACAGATAGACGAGAAAGCTTGTAATAATAATGTTTTTAATACAGACGAGAAACTTGAACTTTTTTGTTTTTCGATCGAGACAATTGAGATTTTTGGATTGATTTTTAAGGCTCTATTTATTGAAAACGCAGAGGTCTGTGGAGAATTTATATTAGGATAAAAAATCAAGAGATAGAGTAATAACGACGAAATTGAAATTATAAAATCTTGAATGATGTAGATTCGACGACATTATTTCGTTAATTAATTGATAGTGGATTTAACTAAGCAATAAACTTTGTACCGTATTGGTAATACTCATTATAAATATTCATTATGACGATATAAAATGTAATTTATTACGCATTGATTTCAGCATCAAAAAATTAACTTTTGAAACAGATTGAAACTTTTATTTCTTATCACATGTTATTATTACATTACGTTTTTTCCTAGACGAATAACAATTACAGAATTACATAACGATAAATCACATGATATCACTATTAGATATATCTCTACGTATAGATAACGATAATATCATATGTAATTATGATGCAAAGAAATATAATCAAATGTTACAGCTCTAATTACAGCTCTAATAGCAAATTTATCGTGGCTGTGCAAGTGACTGTTCCTGTGCGTCATGTCGCTAGAGAAAGATAACATAGTTTGACAGTTGCCGTTTTAAAATACTTTGTCAAAAATGAGATTAAACTTGTAGATATTCGGTATGCATTATAATTGTAAATTTATTAAAATCAAAAATAAAATCAAAAATGAAATCAAAAATAAAATAATCAATTAATACCAGATCCGACTCAGGTCCCAATAATGCAATGCGATTTATTGCGTCATTCTTAGTAAGTAAATCCAAATCCATCAATTTATCAAAGTATTAATAAAGTAAAACAGAGATTATACGTCATTACTGTGTGGGAGAGAAGGGAATTTGATATTGTATAACTGATCTACCTCAAAAAATTGATTGGATTTCATTTACATTAATATTTTTTTTTAGTATAAGTGCAAAATTATTTACGTCACTGAATTAAATCCCATTGTAAGGATGTGTCAAAAGTCTTTAAAATGAGATATAATCCAGTGATGTAAATATTTTTGCACTTATACTTTTTAGTATAATTTATTTAAGTACTGTAGAACTGTATAAATCTAAATTTAATTAATATATATTTTCAATTAAACATTTGATTTTTCCACGTTTGAATTAACGACAATCTGGATTGTGCAGTGTTAAACCGGTACGAAGCAGAATTAAAATCATACAGTATTCAGTGATTGACTAAATTGATTAATACTGTAAATATATATTACTTACGTATTTTTTTATTTTATTTTTTTATTTTTTTGTTTTATGCGAATAAGTAATAATAGCTTAGAATTTAAGACTCAACAATATATACAATATATACAACGACAATTTATGTAATTCTAATTCTAATTACGCGTTACTAAAAAAAATTTAAATCCGTTCATCACTGACGCAAAAATAATTGAAGTTAATCACCCATCATTAGTATCATTAGCCATATATTACATAATTCAATGCAAATTAGGCATTATTCTTGCGTAATTAATTATCATTAAAAAAAAAGACTGTAAAATTCTTTTTAACCGTATTAACCGTTTATTTAG